GGCGTCTAATACACATCCGTGTTAGAATACATATGTAATTATAGAACATATTGAGAAATCCCACAAGAATTTACATAACGCATACATTAGAAAATGTTTATTGTATTTCTACAAATAGTTTTCTTGTCTTTTCAATGCATCAAATAACAAATTTAATGTGTTAACAAAACACTTATATAAATGCTTTCAAAATACTTGAACACCATATACTTTTTGGCACAAAGGCAACAAAAACCTATATAATAAAGAATCTGCAGAGTATTTCCATTCCAATTCAAATAAAAAACCAATAAAGCGAAGGAAGCTTGTGGGCGATTTATAACGTAATAAATTTATTCCATACCATAGTACCAGGCGAAAGGAAGAGCGTACTAAACAACGAAAGAACAGAAACGTGTATCGCATCCATAAATAGCTTAGGATTAAGTAGAAGAAAGTTAAATTCAACATGATAATGAAACCGTAAACAAAAAATTAGAAGATTGAAAAACAAACAAAATAAAAAAAATATATATATATATATATCGTAGAATACAAAAAATAAAGAAGTTCTGAATAAGGATATATTGGGAAATGAGATGCTACAAAACAACGTGAATAAACTACAATTGTTCCTTCTTAATAGTCCTTAGAAAGTATAATAAACTTGAATTAATGTAAATAAACACAAACAAATTTAAATAAACAACATGGAACATAGACTCAAAATCGAACATTTCTTTAGCAAAACAGCCTCTAAATATTCTCAAAAAACTCAAAAAACTTTTGAAACATTTAGAAAAACAATTAATTCATATTTTTGTGGAATTTATATACTATATTTTCAATATTTTGATGGAAATTTTATGTAGACTCCGCCAAAGATCTCCAACAAATACTGATTATAAGAACGTACTATCAAATGGTATCAATATATTGCAAATATTTTTTTGATAATGCCCTCGAATTTACATTATATCAAATTAAAAACATATTTACATTATTTAAACATATATGTGTACTAAATTACTGATTTGAAAAATGTTTTGCTTGAAAAACCAAAAATAATACTAAAAAACAGATATTAAGTAAAAAACTCAAACGAAAAGCTAAGAATGAAAACAAGGATAAATGAAAATTTATATTTTATATTAAATAAATAATTAACAAGCTTTACATATTGCAAAAATACTTCTTTTTGTACTGTACGGATAACGAGAAAAATAATGAGAAAAAAGTCATTCTTATATCCTTCAAACACGCAAGAAAAATCGTAACTTATAAATGTGATAATTTAGGGCATCCATAAAACAGGATATTGAACTGAAAATAAAAATCGAAAAAATTGTATATTCTCAGTTATAAAAACAGAATTCAAATATAAAAAAAGAATGCCAAGCAAGTTTTATATAATAATTTAGCATAAACAAAACTGAAACCTAAATGAAAAATGGATTTAACGATTTGTTATATAACGAATAAAATATATATTAAAAATATTACCAGACGAGAATTGAGAAAAAACAATTAATTATCTTATATCTTTATATCTTATATTTGGAATATTAAATTCTTTAACTATAAACTTTAAAAATACAAAAAGAAATTATAATTAAGTTATTGTGAAACCAGATGTTTGATTTATTTACTCAACGTGATAATGAAATTCAAAACATTCTATGCAAAACAGAAAATAACACCTATTTGAACATGTAGTTCAGTGATTTTTTTTCTAAAAAAAAATTTGATTTAAGACCTATGAAAAATATTTCATAATACAAGGATTGTTTCAAAGTTAACGAACTTTCCCCAATAGACAGTCGCATTTAGTTTTAATAGTTAATAATAAACGAGCCACATGAGTTATTAAAAACTTATTGATCATAATTAATAAATTTTTTCAAGTATAAATAGTAAAAAAATATACCAGGTGGATTGACAGCAGGTGGCAACACCAGAACAAAATCAATTATATTTCGTATATCTGGCAAGTTTCAAAAGACAGATGTAAAAGTTTCGACTTCATCAGATCTTTGGTTAGCTTTTTGGAAATAACTGAAATAGTGTATTCATTGATGATTTTTTATAAAATAGGAAAAATTGGATATCGTTCAGTAATAAAATGCTTCCATTTGAAAGGAGTGAACAATGATGCAATCAAATTGGAAATGGATTCTGTCGCTAACAACAATAAAATATTAATAAACTGAATTTAGAAGTAGACATACGGTTGTTTTTGATGAAGAGGTCCGAGTCGTCAAAAAGAGGTTTCAACTGAAAAAAGAATGATCTGAAAATTAAATTGCGTGAGATAGCAGACAGCAGAGATGACAAACATATCATATGAACGTGTATCGAATATTTTACATAAATAATTGGGTATGAAAAAGCTTTCGGCAAGATGGGTATAGTTGCCTCGTTTGGTCACAATTGACCAACGACAACGACTTCATCATTCCAAACATTGTTTAGAAATGTTTATGCACAATCTAGCTGTCTGTGAGCGAGTAGAGCTAAGATGTGACAATTGATGAAGCATGGATCCATTACTATACAATTGAAGGAAAGCAACAATCCAGAGAAAAGGATAAGTCCGGGGGTAGTGCTTACAAACGACCAGTAACTCAACAATCGGCTAGAAAAGTTTTGTCTTCCGTATTTTGGGATTCATGTAAAATAATTTTCATAGACTATTTGAAAAGAAGAAAAACAATAGCATTAGACTGCTATTGCATATTATTGAATCAAATAAAAGAGGAAATCAAGAAAAAACGACAAACGACCACATTTGTGGAAAAAACAAATGTGGTCGCTCACACGTCGATAAAACCATAGGAAAATTAAGTGAATTACGGTACGAATTGCTTCCTTACCCATCGTATTGTCCAGATTTGGATCGCATTGACTATTTCCTGTTTCCAAACTTAAAAAGGTGCGATCAAGAAAAGAGATTTGCATTAAATGATAAAGTGAAATAGGAAGGATAGGTATATTTTGAAGGAATTGATAAATCGTATTATTAAAAAGGTATTCAAATATTAAAAGATCGTTGAAAGAGCGCTATATTAATATATAAAATTTTCCAAAAAAAAATCCGTTTTTCTTATTTAGGCTGGGTATTTATCAATCCAGGTAGTAAATACCTAATGAAGGCAATACCCCATACCAAAACAATATAGTTAATCAGATAACTTAATGGCAAAGAAGAAATGAAAAGCTGATATTTAAAATTTTAAGTTAATTAGACGATGATACATATCATATGATATACAATAATAACTTAGCCAACAAGAATACTAGAATCAAAACCGCTGAAACTTAACAAAATCAATTCCTAACGTAGAAGAATAACTTTCGAGACTGGTAACCTAAGTTCTGTTAAGAAATATAATTATGTAGACACTTATAATTAGAAGACACTTACTCAGACGAAATGTCTTATCACACATATTAGATTATGACTCTTATTTTTTGACAATGCCATATAAAAAATTTACTGAAGACTTGTCATAATAAATTAGTTCCCAAATATAATTGGTCCAAAATCGTTGGTACTTGAACGAACCAATTTCTACTTAACATAACTACCAAAACTGCAGACATAACCTCTGTTAAGGGGATATAAAATTAGGTGAAGGCAACTCACTTTAACGCAATATTCTTTTATATATCTTAGTTACTGTCCTTTTTCAGACATACCCCAACAGTACAAATCGGTCCGAGGTAATAATAACTGAGGTAATAAGTTTTCATTTCATAGAAGATCGGTAATATTTGAGCAGTATTTTATCTTTAGGTCATATTGCCAAACATTTTTTGAACGGTAATTAATTTCAACAATAATTTTTTTAAAACACAAAAACTATATTTAGTTAATTCAATTATTTTAAAGGTTGTTTTTAGACTTCGTTCCATATATCACAGCAAGTAAATTAGGTAATAAACTTTCACAAAAAATTAACGAAACTTCAAGTTTGAATATACAAGTCAAGTATGGCTTTGGATTAGTTGATTAATTAACACTGACTCTGAGCTTAAAATTTGGCAGCGTTCAAGTTCAATCCTTGCACTTGCAGTCTTAAGAACTATTGGCGATAATTAAATGTAAGAATTATTTATTAAAAAGATTACTGATAATAGATATTTGGTAATATTCGAACATATGTACATATATATTTTTGCCAACCTGACTTAAATAGATAGTACTTTTAAAGGAGCAAAAAAGGTGGCTGTTCATAAACAAATTATTACTTTTGTCATTAATATATGTCGTCCCAAATAAAACAAAAAATGAAAAAATATAATTAAGAAAAAAGATTATTAAATATTAAGAATTTTAAAAATTAAAAATATTGCAAATTAAGCATTATTAAACTAATATTTTCATAAAAAAATATTTAAGATAAATATAAGAAGAATAAAATGAATTGCTAATGTCACTATAAATTTATATTTTTTATAATCATTTTATTCAAATAACTATTGCATCTTAATAATTTTAATTTAATTGTAGGCAACATTTTTTTTGTCGAAAACACTTATATGCAATAAATGTGAAACAAACGAAATATTTGCAAAATACATATAAACTAAAACTCTAAAATATTAAATTTAAAAAAAAGCACGGAAAAATTATAATATACCTATATATATTTACATATAAAAATAAATACTGAATATATATATTTATATAAAAATGGAATAATATTAAATAAATTTTTAAAAATGTATAGAAAAAAATTTAATAATATTAATTGAAATGAAAAATATCAAAAAAAAAAAATGAAGAAATCTTAAAAATATGAAAAGAAACATAAGAACAAAACAAAATTTTAAAAAAACATAAATAAACATATAAAAAATAAAAATATAAAATAATATATATTAAAAATATAAAAAATGAAAGAAAATAATATAAAAAAATATATATAGAAAATCAAAAGAAAATGTAAGACAATATGTAAAATATTATATCCTTTAATCATAAAAAAGCACTTAAAATATTTTAAAACCTTACTTACCCCCGCTATAGTTTGCGCAACCAAATGCTTGCCACCATTGCTCGCACCTGTAGATTTAGCTATTGTATCACTGGAGCTATTGCTGTGCCCAGTGGTGCCTGCAGCAATACTTGCTGGCATTTGATTAACCATTGATGGACTGTTAGTAGACTGTTGCATCGTATCGTTTGATGCAGCAGATATTTGTGATGAATTCATAATTGAATTAGTACCATCAGCGACGCCTGTACCATCCGGCAACAAATGAAAATTTAATTGAGCCAGAATTGCGCCTGAAGTGAAGTCAGTCGTTGATTCTGTATCACTGCTACCGCCACCGCCATCACTGTTTCCAATGCAATAGCCAATGCCAGTATTGTTGCCACCACTGTTCGTTGTAGTCGTTATCATCCCAACTTGTGCTGCAGCCGCCGATGTGCCAGTCGGTGTCAGTGTTTGTGTGTTGGTGTTGTTGAAAGTGCTCGATATCAGTATGGGCGCTCCGATTAAAGCACAACCACCGCCCACGGCGCTATTAGCAGAGGATGCACTTGTCGTCGCTGCAGCAGTAAGCATATTTCCGCTTGTTATAGTTAACGAGCGTACTTTTTCAGACATTTTGATTTGGTCGCTTCACTTATATCCGAAGTGGTTGCTCAAATATGTGACATCAGAATGAGTAAACATGCAAAATGTTTCCGCCGAAAGTTGACTAATTTTATTACAGATTCGATTTATCTAGACGAGCAGATTTAATTTGTCAATGTTATGTCAAAATAACGTAATTAGTGGATTAGTCCGTCTGCTTTTACGTATGTCCGCTAGTTCCTATTTTTCAGTGCATGGAGAAGAGTCAAGCTTTTATTATCTGAAAAAAGAAATAAATAACTATATATTAGTTATATAATTAAATGTAATTTTTTAAATGTCTTTAAAAAAAATTTTTATAGAAAATATAATAAATATTAAATAATAATAGTTTTAAATGTTATATAGAAAATTTTCTTATATATTCATTACTACCATTTTATTAATAGTAAAATGTGATGTTCTGATAAAAAAAAATGAATGAAAAAGGTACTCTCTTGATTGGTTGTATTGGCTGCTCAGCAAATATTCTTTTGCATCCTATAATTAGGACTTTACGCCCATTTATTACCACAATCCTTCCGAAAAAATCTTAGATAAAAATTAGATCACATTCGTTGCATTTTTTGCCAAAGGCTATTATACAACTTCGCGGTTGCAGAACATACAAAACTATAATTGCAAAAATAGCTAATGGTAAAGTGGCCTTTAGACATCAACGCGCGTTGACAAACACACGAAGTCTTCTCTCTCCATTACACATTAAATTTACCAACAATTTTTAAACACGCCTCCAGCAAACAATGCAAAATTTGTTCACTCATCAGTATTAAAGCAATCGCTGAAGTGTCGACAGCGGCTGCTATGCGTAATTTACTTACGAAAAATGATGTTTTACATTTAATTTATAATTTTAATTTATATATTTATATTTATTTTTATGATTTCAATTTATATATTTATTTTTATGTATATTATATTTTATATAATTTAATTTTTTTTTTTGGTATTTTTTAATAACAAATTTTCCGTAAATGCACAATGCAATTAATATTTAAAACAAAATTTTTATTGTAATTTAGTGTTTGGTTATTTTTTTTTAGCCCAAGGTTATTAATATTTTAATTCTTCTTAATAAAATGTTTTGGAAATTAAAAAATTTTACCTAGGTAGAAAATACAAATATTTAAAATTAAATCATCATTCATATTTGCAAAGCATCGCATGCTAACGACAAATCATGCGTGCATTTAAACGATGTTTACGCTTCCATTTCTCAAAATAAATAAAATTTTGCATGCCGACCAAATCCGACTGTATATGCAAAAACACGAGCATGTTTGAAGAAATATCAAAATTTTTTGATTTTCGTCAACACATTTCTTAAAATTTCAAATGTTACTATTACACAAACAAATTTCGCATTTCACAAAGTAGGAGAAAAGTAGGAGAAAAAAATTCTCATGTGAGAGCGATTTTTTAGTATATTTGTTGTTTTATCTGGGGCGTGTTTAAAAAATTTTTAAAAAATTGTTTGTGTAATGGCAAGCGCGCGTTGACAACGAACGTTGCTGTCTAATGGGCCCTTAACACCTTGGGTAAAAGTTTGCAATGAAATCTCACAAAGTAACACAATACAGTGCTGCCAACTTACATACCTATCAAGTTAAATTTTTTTAAAATATATCCTCTCGCCCGTGCGGATAGCGGAATAACATTAGCATGCCTTACGGAGAAAGTTCCTAGATTAGGTTCTAATAAAATAAAAAGATTATATAAAAGCATGCAACAAATAATGTATCTATAAAAGTATAGTATTAAAATTTAATAATTAAAATAAAAATATAATTAATTAATTCAATTATTCTACAGCTGGTTTATGATTTCGTTCTAATATAAAGACAGCAAGCGAACATAAAAGTCAAGTACGGCTTCGGATCAGTTAGTTAAGATGCGCTGACTCTGAGCTTGAAATTTGGCAGGACTCGTGTTTGATTCCTGGTACTTGCAGTCTCAAAAAATTATTTACGAATACTTAAATACAAGAATTAAAATAATATAAAAAAGAATTTTTGTTGTTGTAGTTCAATACTTTTCAAAACCTCTCTAAAAAAAAATTGTAGCAGCATATTTTGCGTACATTTTTCGAGTTATAAATTATTGATACTTTTTAAACAAAACGAAACGAATTAACTTAAATGTAAATTTTTTATAAATATCAAGACAAAAGCAATTCTGATTATTTATAGTAACTATGTAATTGTTCAGTTTATGTAGCAATTATGTAATGTAATCACCCAGCTTATTTTCTCAATAAACAAAATCTAATTAATAAAGCAAAATCAATTCTTTTTAATTTATAATTAATGTAGTAAGACCATTTCTGATCGTTTAGATTTTAAGGCAACTATGTGATATAATCATTCGATTTTGATTATTCCGGCAAATTTTCAAGATCAGTTTCCAAAAATACATAGGAAAAATTGTATGCGTTTATCGTGCAATAGATAGACCAGTTTGCATTAATATAGACAGACAGACATAACGACATCGCTAAGCCGATTTTTTATTTTTTTTTAATTTTGAAAGAAGCTAGAATTATATTTTAAGATATTTATTTATTTATTTAAAATCAAATACACCACAGAAGTAATAGTGAAGTAAAATAATTAGAAATTAGTGTTTGGGATTTTAATTTTTTTTCTTATTTTCTTATATAAAAATTCGGAATTTTTAATGAGTCTTTTATTTCATTTTCAGGAGGCTAATGTAGAATTTCATTCACCGAACCCTTATCATTACCTTCCGATCCGCTTAGAATCGGATCAGAGCTATATTGCTCAGTGATATCGTCATCTGTAGGAAAGCGACATGTGACATATGTCGTCCGTCGACGTATAGTATAAAAGTAGTATTATAAATAGTTGTATAATAGTGAGTATGATGGTAAACTTATATATACACGTTATAAATAATAGATGAGCTATAAAATATATATTAATTATTATTAATTATTATATTCTGATATTAAATAAGTCCGGTATGCTATACAATTTTTTACATAATCTGCTACTCTTGCCCATTCTACCTCACAACTGTTTAAAATATTTATAATGTTTTCATAAGATAGAATAGCTTTACTGAAATAAACTAATCGAAACTCTTGTAAAATAGGACAACGGCCAAGAAAATGTACAATATCATCAGTCTCATCTAAATTACACATACTACATAGCGCAGATCTATCTGCATCAAACCTGTTCCCGATTAGCTGTATCGTGCTTCTACTTCTCCTTTCCCAGTGATGGCGTTAAGTCTTTATAATTCGGTTGGTTTGTTGAGATTTTCTTATATATTTGTCTTTCAAATAAGTTTACAGAAATGTCAATAGCAGTTCATTATTTGCCTTCCAAAGTTTTCGCGGTGCTGTTTACTGATTCCATTTTATATTACAGTCATTTCCCAGCTCATTAAGAACCTGCACTCAAGAAAGGTTAAGATTTAACAATTTTTTGGTCAATTGATTGGGTAATCTTTCCGCATCATATATAAACATGGTTCTGAAAATGTAAATGGGGTGCAGTTTTAACGTATATAAATGTCCATTTACCGCACCAGTCTCTAACATTAAAATATATGTTGGTGTAAATTGTGGCATTCTCAATATTTTCTTTAAGAAGTATAATTGGAGTTTATCCACCTCTTCGAACAGAATGCAACCCCATACTTGAGCACAATATGTTTATATTGCTCTACTTATTGATAGAAACAGATTCCGCTTTGCTTTTATAGCTATGTTGGTTTTATTAAGAAAGTTGTTCCACGTGAGATTTATACTATATATATATATTTAGCTGCAATATTTCTTTTCTCTACATGCTTCTTAAAGTTCATTGTTGGTGTCATTGTCACGCCTAGATAGCAGTATTCATTCGCTACTTTTACTTCTTCTCCACCGAGACACCATTTTTCTTTATTTGCCAGTCTACCTTAGATTGACTTCTAAATTCCAACTGTGGCTGTATGCTTCCAACTTATAAATCATTTTTTGCAGCGTCGTTATATCGTCAGCCAGTATGACAATGTCGTCGGCATACATTAAAGTTCGAATGTTCAGTTCTTCTATCTGTATGCCTCCTTCCAAAAAATCATGTAAATCATTGAGATAAAGAACAAATGAGTGTGGTGATAATATACAATTGTTCGAGTTATAGAGAAATTCGAGTTATAGAAGTTCGAGTTATGGAAGCAGAATTGTATGTATTTTGCTCTCTAAAACCTTGGTGTACTGTTTTTGGTTCGAGTTATAGAAAATTTGAGTTATTGAAGTTCGAGTTATGGAAGTCTGACTGTATATATAAATAAATAAGTTATAGGATCTTTGACGTTTTCTTTACTACGTTGCACAAATATCTTAGCAAACTGTATTTACTTATTTCACTTTATGTACGTCAAGAGTATAATAAAAGAAAATGAAAAAATATAATAAATTTAAATCAATACAGCAAAATTGATACTTTAACAGCATATGACAGCCAGAAGACATTAATATTAATTAATTAAGGGTCAGTCACTTCAACAAATAAAAACCAAGAATCTAAACAATAAAAGTAGGCAAGTAAAAAACAAAAAACCAAATAACCTATAAAGAAACAATAAAAATACAAAATAATAAAATTTAATTTCTCTTCATATAAAGCGAAATGCGGTATGAAATTGATTTAAAACCAAACATGAATTACCGAAGATTCCGTTAGGCTAACATATGTATCTAGTAGTTCTGAACTGAAGAAATAGAAATACGCGTGCGCTTGCGCAATGCTTCGCCGATACGTACATCTATAAGAATAGAAGTTGACTTGTGAATATAAAAAAATCTTTTTTTTATGGGGCCCGCCATGTAACTTTTTACCAAGCATGCGTTGTATTCGTATGAGCTATGACGGTCTTGTCTTATGTCATCCCAAATTTAATAAACATAAAAATCGTCATAGAATCGAGCACAACAGAACGCAGAAAAGACAAAAAACCATTTACATAAAAATATAAAATATGTTAAGAGAATAAATGAAAAAGGAAAAAAATATTAAATAAAAATTTATTAAAACAAATTACATGTTGACAGACATTTTTCTTCTATATATATGGGCTCACACTGTTATATAATTTTTTTACTTTAAGTATTGTCACTCTTAATAACAATAGCAACAGCAGCAGCAATAGTAGAAGATTTGATATTAACGTAGCCTCCCAGTATATATAAAGTCGTCTCACCATCTC